CGGACCTCACAAACCCGCTGTAGGGAAGCAATTCACGATTCCACAAGATACTGTTCAAGGCAGAATTCCTCTTGAGACTATTTCTCGTACATCTTCAATTTGTTTATGCATCAAACGGCGGCCCTGTACCTTTCGTTCACTTTCCAAATTCTCTTTCATGCTGATCACAAAGAGAAGTTCTAATGATTTGCCGCCCTTGAAGCAGAAAGCGGCAAAGAACTATAAACCACATGTGCCATCAAGGCCTTCAAACACCTGCTATATGGCTCCTGCCAGCCTTTCCACAGCTCTTACAACAAGCCTTGAAATGTTGTCATTTTCAAAAAGTGGTTTTTGAGTATTTTACAGCCGGTTTGGAATAAAGTGGCACCAAATTGTGTTTTGACACTTAAATGTCTCATCACATTATGTAACAAAATATCAATTTAAGAGGCATCAGAGCCTCACAGAGTAACCGCAAATGTAGTTCATCACATTAACTATAAAAACGATTCAGTGTTTCTCAACCACAAAGTGTCCTAAAGAAATGATTCAAGAAAAACGTCTACGCTTTGCACAGAATTCCCCATCAAAATTTCCTTTAACTCTGCTTTTCATGGAAAGCAGCTGTGCATTGTTAATTGCGTCAGGCTGAATTTTACAAATAAAGCACATCTATAATTAGCCTAATTTGCATAGAAAGGAGAAAAAAAAATGACAATTTAAATACAGTGTAGTGCCGTTTTAGCACATTTAGCACCAGAGGCACGTTTCAGAAAGTATGTTTTGAGTATGTTAACCATGAAACGATGGAAACTTTCCGTTTCAGAATGGAAGGCAAATCTAACCCATTTCTGTAAGGAAAGTGTGCCTCGCTCTCACGCTCTCTCTGAGAATTTTTGTGTTGTTTCCTTGGCAAAAACCCATCAAAGAGGAGTTTCACAGGGCTGCAGGTCAATGGTGTAGCAATCGGTTAAAATGAGGCTAATCTGAAAAATGACGTTCACTTGATAACATCTTGCTGCGACCTCTGGAAGTAACCTAGTAATTAGAATTTCCTTTAGGATTTCCTGATGTGGTTGGATGCATTGATGACACGCATATTCCCATCACTGCATCTTGCGAAAATGAAGCTGATTACTGTCTGTCAGTAGGAAATCCTATATTCATATTCATCTGTGGCTTTCTCCTCTTCATCTGTCAGTGGTGCTGGTGCAGGTCCTTCCATTTTGCGAGCTCTGCCTTCTTGCTGTTGGCTGAATAGAAGTCAAATGTTAATTTCATTACCCTAATTAAGAAATGTAATGGGTTGGATTAGAGAGTGTTTAATTACAGTGGGTATAGGAAAGAATCACCCCCTTTAAAATAATCACATTTTGTAGCTTTGCAGCCTGATATGAAGACGGACACAGTTTTTGTTTTATCCAGCTGTATTTACAGCATTTCAGTTCTTGGTAGTGCAACTGAAGCAAACAATCAACTATGGGTGGCAAGGCACTGTCAAAAGATCTTCGGGATAAATTTGTGGACAGGCACAAGTCAGGAGATGGATACAAAAAGATTTCAAAGGCTTTTTCAGTGCCTGGAAACACAGTGAAACTGGTCGCTCCAAACTGGATGAAAGGGCTGGAGGAAACTGGTCAGAGAGGCGACCAAGAGGCATGGCCCAGTCAGAGCCCAGACTTAAACCCCATTGAAAATCTGTGAATGACCTGAAGACTGCAGTCCACAAACACTCACCATCAAATTGAACTGAACTTGAGCAATTCTGCAAAGAAGAGTGAGCAGATATTGCAAAGTCTAGATGTGCAAAGTTCGTAGAGACAGACTAAAGGTAATTAAAGCAAAAGGTAGTTCAACAAAATACTGACACAAGGGGGTGATCCTTTTTCCAACTCAGTGATTCTGTTTTTTATGTATTTATTTTTTGTCTGACATGTTGGTGTTATGTCTTTCACTTGGATGCTATATGTTGCACGGATAAACAAAAAGTTAGTTTTTGTGGAGTCACGCCAGTGTTATTTTAGTATGATTTGTGTACCTATTACAGTACTTATTCATATTTTAGCTTTTAATTATATATTTTTTGTTTTTAGTTCAGCTTTTGTCATTTTTATTTGTTTTTGCTTTTTTTTTAAATACGGTAACACTTTACAATAAGGTTCCATTTGCTATGCATTAAATAACAATGAGTAATACGTTTGTTAAAGTATTTATTAATCTTTGTAACATTAGTTAATAAAATACAACTGTTCATTGTTAGTTCATGTTAGCTCAGGTCCATTATATAACATTAATAGCTTTTAATTATATATTTTTCGTTTTTAGTTCAGCTTTTGTCATTTTTATTTGTTTTTGCTTTTTTTTTAATACGGTAACACTTTACAATAAGGTTCCATTTGCTATGCATTAAATAACAATGAGTAATACGTTTGTTAAAGTATTTATTAATCTTTGTAACATTAGTTAATAAAATACAACTGTTCATTGTTAGTTCATGTTAGCTCAGGTCCATTATATAACATTAATAGATACAACTTCTGATTTTAATAATGTGGTAGTAAATGTTGGAATCAACATTAACTAAGATCAATAAATGCTCTAGAAGTATTTTTCATTTTTAGTTTGTTAACTAATGTAGTTAACTAATGTTAACAAATGGCACCTTATTTTGAAGTGTTGCCTAAAATACTTCTACATTATTTAAATAATACATATTTAAAATACTTAATTAATTAGGCTTATTTTCCTTCATTATAATATCAGGCCGTTGCATCACCTTAACATTTGTGTCTTTATGCCTTCAAAAAAATATCAAAATGAATCATGTAACAGAATATTAAAGTGCTGTATGAATCGCATTTTAATGTATTTTTAGTTATGCATCATGTCACTGACCCAGCAGTATGCATCCTAGTTTTAATCCAAGTGCAATTAATACCAATTGTATCTCAATTAAGTTTGAGTCCAAACCTTTGATCCTCATTGCATATTCTCGACCGAACGTTTGATCAAACACATCTCTATTCAAAAGCCAGAATCTAATTTGAAATGATCATATTTTATTAATGAGCTTCATATTGCATTGGTTGCAATAAGCAGCATGTGTGTGGCGTGTCATAATAATGACATTAGAGACCTCTGCTGTACTTTGTTAATCTGCTATTTGTCACCATTGTTTTACGCAGCTCTGGAAAGTAAATGTTGTTGACACACAGCGCGACGGTAGTTTTTGTCTAGGCAGGTGCGGTGATTCACTCTGGCTCTGTCTCTTGCCAGCGGTGCACTGCGGTTCTGTCTCTCCCCGCCGAGTCTCTTTAATTAGTCGCCGATGTCGGTTGTCAGTGTTGCGGCGGCGAGTTGCTGGGCTCCCGTGGCGCTCCGCCGGCGGAGGAATTCATAGCGAGCAAACATGTTCTGAGGTGTTCTCATTGGGCGAGGGAGGAGATATAGAGATGTGAGTCCTGAGGGAAGCTTCCTTACAGAGGAGTGATGCTCGATGAGTAGCAGACATGGGGCAGGGATCCACAACTGCAGTGTGAACATACATATCCTTCATTCCTGTAGAGGTTTGCTGCAGGAGAAACATGGTTCTGTGAAATAGAATGGATGGGGTTGGAAAGGTTAGATCATGTGTTGGGCCCACTAACAATGTAAAAAAAAAAAAAGGTTTTCAAAGTTGTAAATAAATCAAAGATTATTGGAATATGCTTTACAAGAATATACTAATAGTATACTTTAAAATTGAATGTCTATTTATTTTATTCATTCTTTTTTTTTTTCTGACAATGTTTTCTGTATTTTTTTTTTTTATCAGGATCTCATTTATTTGAAAATACATTTACAATGCAATTTATACAAAGCGTGGCAATTCTATAATGAACATGTGTTTAATTGGATATTTTGGGAGACATAAAGTCAAAAAATGTCTGTGATACAACCCGATTTTATAATGAATAAAATGAAGTCTGATATATTGTAAGATTGACATTTTTGAAAAGAATAAACGAGTATTGTTGTTATTTCTTTAAGAAAGGCAGATAAGCAATTGTTGTTGTTATTCAAATAGTTCAAATAATATTAATCATTTCTAAAATGTATGTTCTCTAAACTGAAGTTATGCGCAGCCAGCAAGCAAAAACATGCAGGGGATAAAAAAAAGAAACAATATCATAGAGAGAGGACCACTGGAGACCATTATGACTGTGTCAAGATGTTTAAGTCTTGGTTCAAAGAATGCAAAACTCTGAAATTGGAAAGACAAGCACGGCTGCTAAGATGGGTGACATATGATAGAGACTTCAAACCTGCACAGATGGATGTGCGGTTTAAACAATGGATATGGAATGGAATTACATCATATTGTACAGTTTCATCCAAGATTGGTTTAGAAAGCTTCCAACATCTTATTGATACCTATAATTTAGAGAAGCACGATTTCTATAGATATTTACAGCTTAGAAATCACTTTAATAAAAATATTAATAATGAGGCAACTGAATTGAGTCTCATAAACGTTTTTGTTGATGCGTATAAAGGTGGTATTCACAGGAAACTGGTGTCAAAAATATATTTCATGTATACAGTCCTCTAAGTCTCACTCTACCTTATATATTAAAGAAAAATGGGATAAGTTTACATGGAATAGTGTTTTCTCTTTCCCATTTTGTTCTTTCTGCTTTAATTTTTTTTTTCTTATTAATATATTGTTTATTTTTTATTGAATTAATGATAATGAATTCAATCACAGAAATTGCACATTGGATCTCCATGTACATTTATTAAATATTTAGCCTTTTTTCCCCCCTAATTTACAGCCATTCTGCACATTTCTGTGAAGCCATGAATGTGAAAAGAATAACTGGTCTAACTTTCGCATGAAACTTTTTTTCACATTCCACAGTACTTTAGACATTTACATTTTTTTGTGTTATGCATTGTTTCAGAATGTACTACACTGCCTCAAACAAATGCTGAGTCCCTTTGATCTCATTCTGTCTTTGGCTGTTCCACTCTCTCAGGTTTACATTCCCTGCAGAACCGCTATTGTTCTGGTCAACGAGGAAATCGATTACTGCTACTGAAACACAATCAGCGATTCACCGCGAGATGGAAACCCAGCACACTTCTGTGACTCAACCGACCTCCGTTCACAGCGTGTTTGCCATCATCCTTTAGAAAGCCCACATTTTCCCGTGAACCGCCACCAAACTGAATTGAGTACAAGATGTTCCCATTCCCATGTTACCCCATTTCTGTCATTTTTTTCTGTCATTGTTCACACATTATTGATTATCAAGAATTAGTTTCCCAATATCCCACTGCCCGACTAGTTTGAAATGGTTAGATCATTGCCAGATTTTTTGCCTGATCAAGAATACATGTTTATTACTACTGAAATTGCTATTCAACAATGAATAATTAATGTTGAGGTAAATAATCACTTTGACTGTGGTCAGTATTATAAGCAATATTAGTCAGCACTGTATTTATAATACTGTAATTGTGAAAAGTAAATATAATTACTTTACATAAGTTTGATCTTTCTGCTATTTTAATTTGACACTAGCTTTTTTTTGACATTCTGTGTCAGTGATTTAACTTCTGTATATTTATGTGCACCATGTATTCATTTGTCCAAGTAAAAAAAAAAATATCGTTTGAGAACGATGTATTGATTACATGTCAGTTCAGTGCTGAGCTCGTCAACAAAGTTGAATTATATATTTTTAATGCATGAACTCCGCGTAAAGTCATAGAATCGAAATTATATATTTTATTTTCCTGACAGGCTGGTTTTCAGTGCCTTTCAAACTTTTCAATCATAACCAGGTTTTGATGAATATTAATTTGACTAAATAAGAAATTATTTTGATTAATTTATAATATTAAAGCTGAGATAATATAACTTGTGCTAATACTAAATATTAATTCATTTTCAGTTAAAGACAGTCGTGCTATTTCACTGTCCAGCATTTTACTTTTTAAACATCTTTTATAATATATGTTCTTCTTTCTCTTCAACAACAGCAGCTTATCCCTGAGATCCAAAAGTCTGTGTGTGAAAATATATATCCAAATTATTATAATCCTGAAGCTGCTCTCCTCAAGACATCATTGGACACATTTGTTGCTCATTTTCTCCTGTCTTCTTATTTCGTGGTTCGAAGAAATCTAAATTTGCCCTCAATTTAATTTGATGCTCACATAGATATACAGTATTTGGTAGCATAATCTGTCATACTGAGAAACGGCTTTCCAGAAACCATCTTGAATGAAGATTCATCACCACTGCTTTATTTGGTTATTATGAAAATATTGCAGCTAATGAGAAGGTTTTATTTAACTGAAACAAAAAAAAAGCATTAAAACAGTCAGATTCATAAGTTTGGAAGGTCCTTGTGATGGTCAACAAATATTTGTGTTCACTGCTTAATTTGGTTATTATGAAAATATTGCAGCTAATGAGAAGGTTTTATTTAACTGAAACAAAAAAAAAAAGCATTAAAACAGTCAGATTCATAAGTTTGGAAGGTCCTTGTGATGGTCAACAAATATTTGTGTGCAAAGTTTGTGTGTGGAAGCCATAATAAAATGAAATAAACTACTTCTGAAAGAAAGACTTTGCTTGTTCTTTGCTCTTCTAGAACTAAACAGAGTTTTTAAAGTCAAATTGCATCCTATTCTCAATGTCTTTAGCATTTTAGGTTGCTGTTACCATGAAAAAAACCTTAAAAATGACCACTCATATGTCATAATCGAGTCAATCTCACTTTACCATACACTAGTCAAATATAGTTTCATATTGTACCATTACTGGTGATTCAGTTATAGCTATTTCATTCTTGCTTTGAATTAAAAAGGATTTGTCTCTTGAAGCTGGTTGGTTTAGCTTAAAAGTCTTAACTGATTTTAAAAGATTTTTTTTTTTATTTTTTTTATGTATATGGAGAAGGTAAATCTAATTTAAAGCAGCACTATGTAACTTTTTCTGTGTTCAAAATTTGCTAAATGTTTATAATGAGCGAGTACATCATGATTTCATCTTCCAAACCGCGTTTTTGTCTTATTCCGAATCACTGCGGTACACTTATAATAAGTACTTATAAAAAGATTTTTTTTTTTTTAAATGTATGTGGAGAAGGTAAATCTAATTTAAAGCAGCACTATGTAACTTTTTCTGTGTTCAAAATTTGCAAAATGTATATAATGAGCGAGTACATCATGAATTCATCTTCCAAACCGCGTTTTTGTCTTATTCCGAATCACTACGGTACACTTATAATAAGTACTTATATTTGGACTATTGTAGCCTGGTCGGGTCGTCGCCGCTGCGGAGTAACACATACCTGCGTGAATCGCCATAGACATAAACTTAGAGAAGTAGCTCCGGTTGGAATGTTCTTCCGCGGGATGTGTGCAGTTCTGTTTATTAACCGCAAGAGCGACAAAAGTTACATCGTGCTGCTTTAATTAATGACAACGTTATTTTTCATACATATTCATTAATGTATCCTTTCACCAGAAGATATAGTCCCTCATTTAACAGTTTTGATATCCAACAAACCAACACAATCTCATGGAAATGTGCAACTATTTTACTTTTTGACAGATTGGTGGCTAATTCGTATGAATTCATACAATCTGCTTACACTCTAGTGACAGTTATGTGTATTTTCATACTAAAATTCATATGTTTTCGTACAATTCGCATCTTATGAATTTATCCAAAAACACCACACCTCATAAATTAATAACATTTTCCTGTGAGATTGAGCTGAACAAACATAATACTCCACAGGTGCCATGCAGTGATGTGATGAAATGTATCTCATGGCAATTGTTACTATATCGTAGATTTTATCATGACTGAATCGCTGTATTGACCAATCAGAAGCCAGGACCAGAACTATCCCTTTGATTATGAGATGTATATGCAACTCATAATGCTTCTAAGGTAGATATTTTCCTGTTATTCAGGATCTGTGTGCTTTCACAGCCATTGATCTCAGGCAAATTTGCACTGAGTGCTTGTCGGCTTAATGCAGTGATTGTATAAAGAGATGTTTAAAAAGGCTTTGTCAGTGACAGTGACATCTTTATCACTGAGATTAACAGATCAAGTCTTTAAAGTGCTCGAAAACAGACAACAACCACATCCTCACACACTGACATACTTATTCAAGGCCCTTGATAGCTTACTCCATTAAAGTGTTATGTAACTCACTAGTGCATGTTTATTTTGAATAATATTTCTTCTTGTAATCTATAGAAACCTGTTTCTGCCTCAGAGTAAAAAGGAATTGTGAGGAAAAAGTTAGAAAAAAAGTTGCAGTTGGAAGAAATAGTCACAATATATAAAATGATATTACAAGATATGCTCACATTGTGAGATATAAAGTCCCAGTTGTGAGAAATAAAAAAGTTGTGAAGTCACTTTGCAAAATATCGTCATAATGAGAGATATTAAACCCCAATGGCTAATGTGAAATATAGTGACATTGCAAGAAAGAAAAAAAAAACACATTGTGAGATATAGTCACAAATACGAGAAACAGTCACAATTGCGAAATGTAAAGTCACACTATATATGAAGTCTAAATTATGAAATATATAGTCACACTAAGAGATATAAAGCCACACTGTGAGATAAAAAAGTCTCAATTGTAAGATATAAAAATGCAATTATGAGAAACAGTCACAATTGTGCAATATAGTCACATTGCAGGATATAATCACACTGAGAGACAAAAGTTCTCAATTACAAGAAACAAAGTTGCAAAGATATAAAATAGCAAATATGAGAAACAAAGTAGATAATTCTGCAATTCTAAGATATAGTCACAATTGCAAAATGTAAAGTCACACTATATATGAAGTCTAAATTATGAAATATAAAGTCACATTCAGAGATATAGAGCCACACCATAAGATACAAATATCAACTATGAGAAACAAAGTCTCAATTGCATCATATAAAAATGTGAAAGTTTGAAAAAGTCACAATTGCAAAATATAAAGTTGCATTGTGAGATATAAAGTCACACTGAGATAAAAAGTCTCAATTCTGAGAAACTGTCTCAATTGTGAGATATAAAAACAAGAGATAAAGTTACACTGAAAAATAGTCTTAATTATGGGAAACAGTCACAAAGTCAGATTGTGTGTGTGTGTGTGTGTGTGTGTGAGAGAGAGAGATAGAGAAACAAAGTCGCAATTGTGAAATATTGTCAAAATGAATGGTGAGATATACTGTAAAGTCAGTGATGGATATAAATTCTCAGTTACTAGAAGCAAAGCTTCAATGTGAGATATAAAAAAGCTAATATGAGAAAACGTTTGCAATAGCGAAATAGTCACATTCAGAGATATAAAGCCACATTGCGAGATTAAAAAAAGTCACACTGAGAGATCAAGACTCAATTACAAGAAACAAAGTCACAAAATGAGAAATATAAATGCAAATATGAGAAACAAAGTAGCAATTGCAAAATATCAAATCACATTGTGAGATATAATGTCACACTGAGAGATAAAAAGTCTCAATTACGAGAAACAAAGTCGCAATGTGAAATACAAAAAAAAATGTGAGAAACAAAGTAACATTTCAAATCAAAGTCTTACTGAGAAATATAAAGTCAACTACAAGAAACAAACTCGCAATTGTGATATATAGTTATTAACCTTGTTTCAACTTAGAGGTGGGAATGGGTTTCCATTGTAATTAGTGTATAATACCAGCCGTTTGATCACTTTCCGTTGCAAAGGGCCTTATGTTAACTGCTCAACCATATAAAAGTCAGTTTTATATTTTGTTGGCTGAGCACGAGAAAACATTCATATTCCAAACCCATCAGTTCAACACAAGTTCTGAACACCTCATTTACCTTTATGTAACACCAAAAGGGCTTAAAATCGCTCGCTGTAATGCTAAAAGCTTTGAGAGGGCCACTTTGCATAAATATCTGCCTCTTCCACAAGGACCATTGTGAATTTGAAGGAGGACGTTGTGCTTAATCGTACCTTTCATCCTGACCAATGGCATTTTCATTAGAGTTCTTGAATTGAATGTGTTAATCTAAACGGGGGGAGTCAACAGGAGCACCGGGACCGCTTTGTTTCGCCCGTCTTTTTAGCTAATCAAGTCTGCTGTTCGTCATTAATCACCACTGTGACTGCGTGGAAATCAAGAGCGACTGAAGGAAGCTGTGACCTCAGACTCCCCCGCAAGGTCATGGATATGTGGGCAATGGCTTATTTTTATGCTTATTATTCTGCCTCCTTTTTTTGTTCTCCTTCATCTGCTCCTCCGTCTCCATTTACTGATGCACCATGTAAATCATCCTCTTTCACTGACACTTTTGTGATATATGTTTTCCCTTTAATGTAGTACTGAAGAATGTGCGCTGCATCTATCTTGCGTTTCCCTCATGGGTCGGATAAACTTGCATTATCTCACTGATGAGTCGGCAAATGGCAGTAGCTCCTGTTCACCATTGGTTGCAAAGGGATCAAGTGTTGTTCAGATGTTGCAGGCCATTGTTAAAGGTTCCATGAGGGACACTGGCTGTGGTTTGTCCTCATGTTCATGAAGGTAACAGTGAATAATGCACAGTTCTGTCACTGCTCACTGGTGTTATACTCAGAGTTTGTGGAGTAATGCTTCCATCTAATGGTAGGAGTATCTCAGCGCACTGTGTCTACTGTTATTAGAAGATATATTAGAAGTCTTCTTTGAAATCTTGGGGTGTCTTCAACAACTAGTTAAAGACACTTAATATAAAGTAGGTCCAGAAATCGTAGTAATAAATATTCTCACATATTTAATTTAGATGAAAAAAAAAAACATGGCATACAGTTTATTATTAACTATTTACATTTATGTGATTGTATTTAAATAATCTTTGTAATGCATTTATTTAAATTGCTTTAAAAAACAGCATAAATCTGTTCAATAAGAAAACAAGTACATTTATTCAGTTAAAAGTATAAACGTGATTAAAATGTGGCTAGCAGTGGAAGAAGCAATATTCACTCAGACTGAAATGTGAAATGATTTATTGATGATAAATATACAAACCTGACTAGTGTGTATTTTAAAACACATTTTGTTTATTAATTCTATTACCGAAACTATGCCTGTTTCATTTATGTATGACAAATATGCATCACATTAAATTTGTTTATGTAAAATTTTATATAAATCTTAAATTTAGGCCCTTTTTAGGGTCCTTTTTTGGGGGGATAGTGCTTTTAAATAGCCGGGAGGCCCTAGAAACATCACCCCCTTTCTAGCGACGGCCCTGCAGGCAGGTAACGTTTTCCTGGTATCCAAGCAACCAAGACTCAAGACGGTCTGCCAAAGAGAGAAGCAGAACAGGTTTCCACTGCTCCAGAGTCTAGTGGCGGCATGCTTTA